GCCTTTTTCTCTTGCTGCCTTTAGGATTTTTTCTTTTGTGCCTACTTTATTTAGGCGAATTATTATGTGTCTAGGAGTTGGTCTTCTCATTTGTTGTCTTGCGGGGGTTCTCTGAATCTCTTGTGTTTGAATTTTTGTATCACTGATTAGATGAGGGAAATTTTCTTGAATGATCTCGTGGAAAGTTTGTTCCAATGTGGTCTCTGTTTCTCTTTCTGCCTCAGGGAGTCCGATTATTCTTAGGTTAGGCCTCTTGAGGTAGTCACTCATCTCTTGAAGGTTTTGTTCTGTCTTTTTTAGCTTATTTTCTGTGTTTTTAAGAGTTTGGGTTATTTCTATATTTTGGTCCTCAAGCTCTGAGATTCTTTCTTCTGCTTGGGTAATTCTGCTTTCCATGATTATCAATTTGTTATTTATTTCATTCACAGTATTCTTTATTACTGTTATCTCAGATATCAGCTCCTTCCTAGTTTCTTCTTGTGTCTCCTCAATCCTTTTTAGTCTCTCCATTATTGTTTTGATATCTACATTTGCATTTTGAGACCCTTCATTCTGGGGACTTTTTCATTGTTTGTATTCCAAAGTCAATTTTCTCAGTGTCTGCTCTCCCAGGCGTCTGGGAGAGACCCATACTCTTCTTTTGGTTTTTCTTCATTTCTGTAGATTTTTCTCCCTTTACCCCTTTCCCTCCCCCTCTTCAATTCTGTTTTTGAGGGAAGGTGGGGTTGCTTTTATTTCTCTTCTGCAATGACCTGTTCTTCCTTATGAGGGTCTTCTGGTTTTGTTCACTTTTCCCTCTGCTTTACAGTCTGTCTATTCAGCAGTTTGCAGTCTTGGTCCCTGAAGTAGTTCACAATTTTGATCTGTGATGTCTTTTTTCTGACCTCAAATGGGTAATGTTTGCTGGACACCAACCAGTCTCCAACAACAATTGTTTGTCCAACAATTCAATTCTGGGAATCAGCCATTTTTGCCTCTTCCTCCTCCTCCTCCGGCATTTCTTTTTAGATGACAGTGTCGTGATTTTCTTGGAGATGACCCACCATTTCCAGAGCGCCAGATACCTAAACTGTTTTTAAAAGCTGTATTTTTTCCCAAAGCAACTGTTAAAGAATAAAAGCAATGTCATTTCTTGGCTTCTACATAGCTCACTATCAAAATTCACTAATACTTTTTATAAAAAATAAATGGCAGTTGTTGACAACAATTTGCAAAATAGCACTGCACACAGATGAACTTTAGTTTGACATGCAGGTGAACAAAATTCATAAACAAGTGAGAGGACAACAATAGATTTAGGTTAAGAGCATGCTATTGAGAGACCCAAGAAACCAAGAAACTTATTTGCTGTAAAAGTAGC